TACCCCAGGTACAACGTGATAGTTGCATTACTGGTCTTTGGTAATCTTTTACATCGATCGTAATTCGTAAACAACATACTGTACTGAGCGCCGTGCTGTGGAAAATAAACACCTTTTTACAAACCGTATCGGTCGAAGACTAGTCATACTGAAGCAAGCGATTAGAATCAGTTGATTATTACAGCGCTTATTCGTATAGCGCTGTAACATGCAAGCAAAAGCCGATATTTTCATTCCCTTTCCCAAGTATGCATTGCGCGTTTATTTACGATAGCTGTAGATCTAAATTAATTCCTGTAAAACGGAAAGCTCGCCGAAAGTGAGGTGAACATGTTAATTCTGTATGCTGCTCCTAGAACAAACATTTTGTGAATTTTGTGAAATTTTCATAGTAGAGATGAGGGCGACGCTGAAGAAAATGGTCGCCCCAAAGAATTGGGTTTTGAGGATTTTAGGGGGCTATTTGGGCTCCGCCGAGGGCGAAATCGCCCGTCGCCCCCGGTTATTTCCGACACTGATGTAACAGCATCAAAAAGACTTCAACAAATGAAATATTAATCACTGTTTGTTAGTGTGAAAGTAGCAGTGTGCAAGTGTTCCAAGATTAGCCTTAAGCCCGGCGCACACGTGGCGATTTTTATCGCTAGTACTGGCGATTTTGTTGCCGGCGACAGAATCGCCGAGAGATCTACACGTGTGCGCTGCATGGCGATGGCAATTTTGACGCCAGAAACTCGTCGCTGGAATATCAAACGTTTGATATTTGTTACAGAGTCACTGAACAATCGCCACGTGTGCGCTGCACTGGCGACGGATTCAGGCAACAGTTTTTGGATTGACTAATGAAATGCATGATTTAAAGCACGTGATCAAATATGGTAGCGCCCTTGGTGTGGTAAAAAAGCAAGAGGATGAGCTTGTTGAAATGTGAAATTAAAAAGTGTCAAATTGGAGTTGAATTGTTGACGCCGGGTCCTGCACATGTGGCGATTTTGATCGCCAGTAAAAAATCGCCAGTACTAGCGATCAAAATCGCCACGTGTGCGCCGGGCTTTAGTGTATACACTTGCTGTTATGCAAGCAATACCAGTAAGTATTGTATTTGTCACTGCTCAAAATTCTCACTTTAAAGGCACTTGCAATTGAACTGGCTGAAAAGATTGTATTTCAAAATTTCAGTTCATTCTGTACTTTTAGTCAAAAGAAGATACTTGAATTGGGCCAATCAGTAATATGAGTCAGTGTACCTATAATGTTTATTGTGTGTAAATGTTTGTTGCTGGTTACTTTTTTAGGCAGAAAATGAATTGCTTCTATCCCGTCAGATGGCACACTGGAAACCATGGGAGCCACTTTTGAAGGAGGCCCCTAAAAATCAATGGAAATGGCCTATTTGAATTAGAAATACAGTTACAATTGAATAATATGCTGGTAGAAGCAATATCTAAATAGTTATAGTCGGATAGAATGCAGCCGACTACTATCTACCTACTAATAATAGTGCAAGCAGTGAAACCTAGGTTGGAATTTAGGTAGGCCATTTAATGCTATATTGACTTAGCACTGTACTATGTTTCTCCAGCAACCATCTTGGTTCGCAACCACTTTGCCAATGATTATTACCCCTGTTTGTGGGTTGCTGGCATATGGCCAATATGCAGCTTGTATGTGGCATAAACTGCCGATAGATTATTCAAATGACCGTCAGGCTTGCTGTTCTCATAAAAATATACACAATTGTATAAACTACCCAGTTTTTATTGGTTTTCAACATTTTTAGGATGAAACAATGGTAACCAATTTTATTTATTCACAATAACAGATTCAAGTATCACCATTTGACTTCATGTTTAAAACATGAACGCAGATTGAGATGTTAGTCATACATTTGGTATGATTCAGATGACTTGTTTAATGATAATTTCAACCGAGATATGTATGAATGAATCTAAAATAAACTACAATTGTTGTACGTTAATATATACAAATCGTTATCAATGGCTGTGTGTGTAGTCAAGTTTGATAAAGCCTGTAAATTTACAGTTTTGTTCTAACACTTTCTTAACATCCAATGCTTTTTTGTATGACTCCTCTAGCAGCATCGAACGAGCTTTCACAAGCATCATGTATTCCTGTGTATCGTGAACATGTGGTTTATCTCGTACTGCATTTGCCCTGTCCACCTGCGTACATGGATTAGGAGGCATTGTGTAAACATATTCTGATAACAACAAATTTTTAGTGGATTTCAATAGTTGTTCACGGACTAGATTTCGGCTTGACTTTTCTTGTTCAATTGTGTTTACATCTGCATCGCCTGAACATCCGTGACCTGCAGTCGTTTCAGGCGCTTGTATGGATTTCTTTTCTAAAGAGCCATGAACAGCAACATTCGTACACTTGATGGACGTTCTCCCCATTTTCTTGTCATCCACTATACTTGCGATCCATCTCCAGAAAATGCCTTCACTTGCCTTCCACTTCAACAGCAGTGCCATTAGGCTGTTCTTGAACCTTATCGTTTCCAGGTACCGTGATAGTTGTTTTGGTTTATCCAGCAGGTAGGCATGTAGCACTGAGAGATGGCTTGCATAGTCTGTTACATGCACTCCAGCGGTGCCACAGTGCACTCGATGCATGAGCTTGGTCTGTTCGCTATGAATAGCATGAAGACTACGAATACTAAAAAGAACTTTTCCATAAAGCCAGGCATAATAGTTGGCCTTATCCTTCACACTCAGTCGATAATAATGTTCTATTGCACTCCTCTCTTCCACAGAGCCATCATTTACATGTTCTATGTTTCTGTCTGTTTCTTTGCTGCCACATGTCCCAAGTTCTATCACCCCTGTGGTGTCTTCACTGATAATATTTGTTATGTGTATTATGTCAGACGTGCATCTAATAATGTATTTATCGAGTGGTTTCATTCTGCCAAGATACCAGGCAAGTGCCAACAATAATTCACGGCTTCCTTGCGTCCCATCGCCGGGTAAACTATGGAATTCATTCAAGTTGTAGCCAAGTTTGAGAAAACTAGATTTTACACTGTTTATGACATTAGAATCTAATCTTCTGCTAAGTCTGTGCTGAGAACGTAACTGTTGCAGAGGTAGATCACCTTTGTAAAATGTCGTTTGCTTGGTAGAATCTTCAAGTACATCAAGTAAAGCTAACCACATATCTGGAACAACATCGGCACGATTGCGCATAGCTTTCCTAAGAATTTCGGCAGTTATCCCATATGCACTGATGCAATGAATAAGGCATTTGCACAGAATTTCAACTACCTCACGAATCTGGCTCATGATGCTTCAGAAGTCTCCTCTCCTCAGTGTTTCACTTTAACTCGAGATGATCCAGTGTTGAATTATCACCATGCTAATACCTCAGACACATCCATATCCTTGGCCTATAGGCTGTTGACAACCTGAAACTAAAATTGATGCCAAAAAATTGTAGTTACTTGCATAGAGTAGTGGGGATATTAAATATAAGCATTAATGATGTAAAAATTAGGGCTTTTGACCCAATGATAAAATATGCAATGATTCCACATTTAAATTTTTGGTGTAAAGCGGAGCATGAACCCTAGTGCCTAACCTAACTACTAACCTGAACTTAGCCCAATCATCACCACGTATGTACATAATCCTAGTCTAGGCTATAATCTACAAGTTCAAGAAGCTGGGCATGCTTCTCTAGAATGCTTCTCTGCACAGCTGATTATCTCTGTGGAGAAATAAGGGTGTAGCATCAACAATGTCCACATCTCTGTTACCTTGGATTAAAACCACGCTGGTGTCCCACGAGAATCGGGTAGTTCACTCAAACCCTTCTTCGTCATCATCAAGGAAATGTCTAACGAAATCCTCATGCAATGATCCTATTCTGAAGATCTGTTAATCTGTTAACCTGCAATATAACCATCACAGAAGCTGATTGAGACATACATGTAGAAAAATACTCTCGCTCTACTCTGGAGGTGTAACTAAGGATGGAGCAGAACTATCTTATACAAAACGTGTTACACTGCACGTGCTTTTTCCAGTACGGTTTTGCAAGCCAGAGGAGCAGACACAAAAGCTAGAAAGAGTCCAGAGAAACGCCCTGATACAATCAACTCAGTTACTCGTACAGTCATCTCAACACCAGCACTAGCCCTGAAAGTCTTGCTGCTTGTTCCACCCAGCAGGCTGAGTTACTAAGAAATTTTATTACAGTAATGTATACACACTCCCTGACACTGTAGACCCTAAACCAACCAGCTCAAAGAAAAATTGGACCTGGATCACTAGATCATCAACTTATTTATTTATTTATTTATTTAATTTATTGCAACATCATAATACTGCTTAGCATCTAATGCAGACTCCAAACCTGAGTGTGTTGCTTATCGGCATTGAATAATAAACTACCGAAATGAATATTTACCTCCCTGAAATAAAATTGAATCTGCCGTAAGCGAAGTGGTGTAACGAGAATTAAACAGGAGCTAACAGGGGCACCCAGGACTTTTGCTATATATTATTGTTTTTAAGTTACTAGGCCTATGAGAAAACGTATAGAAGAGTAATAACATGAGGCCAAAATACCCTCGTGTTAAGCAACTATACAGGCTTGCTAGTCTCGCGGCTAGGTCAGTGTCTAAAATACATGCAAGACAAAATACTCAGCTCAATTTGCCATACACCAGCTTATAAATGCTTATTTGTTGAAAATACTCCAGAAGAGTGAGTTTACTATATGTTTCCCCGAGTCTAATATCTGAGTCTACATTTGGAAAAGGTTCGTATGGGTGAATTTCACTAACTCGATTATGTAACGATTAAGAACTGAATTTATGTTGGGTGGCTAGGGATATGCTAGATTCGTCATCAACGAACTGGTAGACAGAGGAAAAAAGGACAGATGCTCCCCATGACACAACTGACAATGAACAACAATAATTAAAAAACCGCCACTGCAAAGGGGAAATTTGAAGAAAAATACAAGAGAACAGGCTGAAATTAAGGACCATAAAATGAATAACAATACTATTTATACTTTCTGTTTATTTATCTTCACTGGTTATTCAGCTAGAACAATAGATAGTATGAATAATAAATGGTAATATTGACTCTGAGTATGTCCTGCATGTCATCATGTCTTGATTTTCATAGTCTATGGTATAACTAATTACGTACACATTGTGACACAGGCACGCTGACTGCTTCAATAATAAAATGATGACAAATTAACCCAGATTGTATGTATAGACAGTACGCAATCTATTTTTTCCGAAATTCTGAAAGCCGAAAGTTTTTTCGTGGAGGTCGTCTGCACACCAAAGCTAGCGTTTGGCTGGACAAGGTTCACTGCAGAAATATTCATGTGGATGGCATTACTTAGACGTTTTGTACTGTCGGTACAGCACTTGGCCTCTTGAAAACTTGCGTTTTTACTGGCTAGTTGCAGGATATACGGTATGTATATCTGTACTGTACTACCATTCCAAAATCCGTAAAATTCCGAATTCCGAAACGTGTGACTGGTCCCAAGGGTTTCGGATAATAGATTGTGTACTGTACCACGTAAGTCTTAATCTTTATATATCTACTCTCTATTGATCATAATATAATAATCTCTCTTTCTGTGAGTTTGTGCAGTGTCAGTGGCATGCTCACAGTCAGACTGTGTTGTGGAGGAGCATTTAACCACCATTTATGTGGAATTACTGAGCGACAGGAAGTACACACACATTCAGACTTCGGTAATTAACACTCATATTTTATTATTGAAACGGCCCATGCAAATTGCAAGTGGCAGTGCCTGTGACCCTGACACCGCAGCACAAGCACTCGAACGTTTCAATAATAAAATATTATAAATAAACACGAGATGTATTTACTTAGTAACACGTTGTTTCTCTACTCTCTTTCGCCTATTAGTACTATAAAGTATATATAACAAAAAGAAAATATATTGTTAATTTTTCGGTCACGGTTTCCCACCTGCTCTGTGGTCAGTGCTCTCACTCTCAGCTCTGATGGCGAGTGTGCCTGTGCACAGCGGCGTGCGTGCGGTGTCCCTACTTGAGAAGGTGTGTGTTGCAGAGTACGTAGCATTTGAGCGACATTTACAGGAAATTTATCTGTAACAATAGACGAAAGCGTAGAGAAACATTAAGACTTTAGAAGTAAATACATTTCGTGTTTATTTACCATCAATCATTTTATTATAGAAACACACACTGACAGAGACACAGACTCACACAGTGACAGTGTGACAAGTCGCCAACTGTACCTGCTCGGCTGCTGCATCAATGCCATCATGCATGCATCATTGCATGTGCCTGACACATGCAGCCACTGTGAGTGCCACGTACGTACGGTCCTTAAGCCTGGCGCACATTGCCGAACATTTCCCCGAACAAATGTTTTTGTCTGGCAATGTGCGGGTGAAAAATTGCTGAGCGCACATTGCCGAACATTTTGCAGCGAACAACATTCATGGCGCCGTCTAGTAGCTGTGTTGTAAAGAGTCACGTGATCGGCGCATGATTGGGCACAAAAATCATGTGACCACATATCGTGCTTCTATTGCATGGTTACTACTTTACAAATGTTCCTAGAATTGTTCGACATTCAGCGCACAATGCTCGAGATATCAAACATTTCCGATCTTCAGAAACATTGTTCGGAACAAATGTTCGGCGACTTTTTTCACCGCACATTGACGAACATTTCATGGAACATTGCTACGATGTTTTTGAGCAAAATGTTCAGCAATGTGCGCCGGGCTTTAGGAACGGTTTGCTGGCAGTTACGGCGGGTTAGATGATAAGATACCCCTTTAATATCGTGTTTATAATTATAGTCACATGTTAGACGAACAAGTGCTGCGAAGCGATAGCGCTCATCTAACGTCTACTGTGGTGACTCTGTGGTGGAGTGGTGGGATTCTAGTAAACCCTGTTAGTCCCAAATGTGTTCACATACATGCCGAAACAGTGGAATGCACAGGGATGGTATCAGGAACCTTCTCAAAGGAATGTTCGTTGGGATCGTTATGAAAGTTGCCACAAGATGGCGCGTACGTTTAAGTGTCTTCAGATTAAAGATAGAAGCTCCCATCGTACGTAGTAGCAACAACTATTTGCAAGACAGAATATAGGTAAGCACTCATCCATTTACCTACGCAAGCCTACAGGCTGCAATAGAGAGCTGCCACCTGTAACCAATTAATGCAGGCAAAAACTACACAGTACCACCACCACATGCACTGCCAGTGGCATTACGTTA